CATTTTTGTGTAGTTCTCCTTTCTGATTTTAAATGCTACAGTGTTGGGCCGCTGCAGAGTTTTCCCTGTCACAGAGTCCCCGGGCGATGCTCTGGAACTGCTCCCCACAAAGCCAGTCAGGACTTTGGGGAGCCTCCTCTCCCATGGAGCAGTCTGTCTTCAGGGCAAGAAGCTCACATGGCTTCACCTCCTGGGTCTGCCCGTGGAGCATTCAGTATATGCCCCTCCGTGTGCTTCCCACAGCGAGTCGGCCCAGGCGGGGTCCTGGGGAAGCCAGAGGGTCCTGCATGCACCCCCACTTCGCAGTCAGACGTGACTCTCAGCCAGCCAGTAAAACAGAGGTTTATTAGATAACAGGAACAAGGTCTAAAACAGATCTTGTCGGTCCAGCGAACGGGCTCCTCCACCGGGTCCATTCTGGGGCCCAGCGAGCCCGACACTCCCGTCTGCCCTCACTCCTAGTCCCCAGCCAACTCCAAAACTGAAACCCCCTCCAGCCCCTCCTTCTCTCCTGAGTTCCTTTCCCAGGCCAGGAGGTCACCTGATCTCTTTGTTCACCCACACCTTTAGCATCCCCTTGCAGGGGGGAAGGGCCTGGCCATTAGTTGCTAGGCGACAGAGGGTCGGCCAGTATTCAGAGGAAACATTAAGAACAGTCCCACTTCGTCACACCCCGCCACAGGGATGTTAAATTTAATTATATTATGGTCACTATTACCAAGAGGTCCAGCTATATTCACCTCTTGGACCTGATCCCATGCTCCACTTAAATCAAGGTAAATCAAGAATTGCCTCTCCTCTTGTGGGTTCCAGGACTCGCTGCTCCTCTCCTCTTCTGGGTTCCAGGACTCGCTGCTCCTCTCCTCTTGTGGGTTCCAGGACTCGCTGTTCCTCTCCTCTTCTGGGTTCCAGGACTCGCTGCTGCAAGAAGCAGTCATTTAAGGTGTCAAGAAACTTTATCTCTGCATCCCGTCCTGAGGTGACATGTACCCAGTCAATATGGGGATAGTTGAAATCCCCCATTATTATTGAGTTTTTTATTTTAAAGCCTCTCTAATCTCCCTGAGCATTTCACAGTCACTATCACTGTCCCAGAGTCCTGTATCGCCTGGGCTGTGTTGTGGGACCCAGTGTTGTGTATGGCTTAGCTTTGCCAACCCTCCAGGATTGTCTTGGAGTTTCCAGGAATTAAAGATTAATCTTTAATTAAAGATAATGTCATGTGATGATACCTCCAGGAATTCATCCAACCAAAGTTGGCAACCCTATCTGGACTGTGTTGTGGGACCCACAGTTGTGCGTGTCTGGGGCAGGTCTGGGCTGTGTTGAGGGACCCAGAGTTGTGCAGGGCTGGG